ACATAAGTATATCATATACATAGACTTAGATAGCTTATCAATGACACTCAGTGGTTAATACTATCAGATTACTTTGAAAAGAATATCTTATGTTATAATGCGAAGATATGACAAATGACGTTTTAAGTATTGTGACAGTGAGAAGTGTATCATAGATTTGATTGAACTGATTTCATCAGATTCTGATGCAATGATTATCTAGTATCCTATTCGCTGAGAAAAATGAATACTCTAAAGACACTTACACGCAGATTTTTTGATGAAAAGTGCTTGGACGTTTCACACTAAATGTTTAATGTTTCCTGGTTTACAATGATTCTTTAACTGTTGGTAATGATAAGTCATCTTCATTTTATATGTAGACACCGTCGAAAAACTAGGCCACTACTCATTCGTTATCATCTACCACTGTAACTCAATGACCTTAAATATCTTCAACAAAAATATGTTAAGTCTGACAGAATTAAGGAATATTCAACACCGACTGGGAACTACAGGTTATAACGATTGACTTATTTATAAGTCTTCAACCTTCAGTTGTTTTTTAAGTAATATAACATTATCCGTAGAATGTTGCGGAGATTGTTAAGTTTTTGACTGAGATCATGAATCGATTGGTGTAAGACCATCATGGAAAACCTGGAAACACTGGATGGCCGTTTCGTCCTATTGTGGGACTTGTCAGCAGAGTGCATCCACAATCCCGCCCCACTGGATTCGAACTCAGGACCTATCAGTCTCGCATGAGAACGCTTAAACCCTAGACCACTGAGCCGACATTCAACAATGTTAATGTCTAACTTCGATCGATTAATAATCTTGAGCAACCCATCATCCATTGTTTCAAGTGAATAACTGTCTCTACCCAGCACGGGTTGAACTTCACTAATTATGGTTTCTCACTAAAGCTCCAAGAAATCCATATTGAGTCTCATGAGTGCGCATTGCCAGAGTGTCTCATACTAAGACAAAACATTGATCCACTGCTTCCAAGTTTTCAATGATGATCTAATTTAGATCATCTCATGAATCCAACCATTAAAATTTATTTATTTGTTGGATGTCTACAATCTATTTAATCATTAATTATATTTTTACTCATCTTTGATTCAAGTTCGATGACTAATGACCACACTTTCAAATCAATGTTTAATTTATTTATTTCGCTTATGTACATTCTAAGTGTTGTCTTTACTAGTCCTAATTCTCTTTTTCAACAGTTGTAAATGTTAAATATATATCATTTCAGTCACAAAAAAGAAATCCGATTAGAAATGGGAAATAATTCATACGAAACTACTGAAGTATTTGAAATAACTACTTAAATGATCAACTTCAATTAGTATTTGATTGTTCAGATAATCCAAGTTACTTAATTTCATAAACTGAGACATTACTGCGGAACTATTCGAGTCACAATTGATCTCCTGTAGTTTTGATATATTCATAGCTGATTAATGACTGAGTCATGATTAATATCGTGTTTGTCCAGTCTATTGATAGGGTTTTTCCGTCAGCTATCACTTAACATTTTACATGGAAACATACTTTACATAATGATGAGTTATTTGGACTATTGGGGGTGCAATACAATTCAGTCAGAATTACAAACCAAACAAGCATGACATCAGTTACCAAGCAGATAAACATCAGTGCAATTAGTTTATTGTTTCATATTTAATTGTACAAATCTATACTGATTCAATGACAGGAAATAAATCTATCATCATCATCATCATCATGATAAGAACAATATAATAAGTGCCTACCTTGGGACCCAACCAGTTGATCATGAAGACTGACCATATAAGGTTACAGATATGAGTAATTAAAGTTTAATTATCAGTTAGTTTTGAGCCATGATGAAGAGATAATTATGAAAGGAAATATACTTTTGTCCCAAAGTAAAAATAATCTATATGGGGATGACCATACCTATATAAACTAGACTTGTTGCATTTCTTTATTAAAATATACATGCACATAATACAATGCGCACACAATCTCTAACCTGTATTAGTCCGCATTCAACTATCTGTCAGTGAACACATCCAACACAAAACTATTCAACGAGAAATTCAATTTTCTTTAAGAACATTCAGCAATTTATTAGCATAACATAGTTTGTAAATCATTATTTTCAGTATAGGACTGTAGAGATTGTCGAACATTTGTTGAAATCATGAACCTATCACTGTTAGACCATCATTGAAAACTTGCAAGCACTAGACTACCATTTTGTTTTAATATGGAACACATCCATGATCCTTCACGCTAAACTCGAACCCAAGGTCGCTTGTCTCGCTCGAACGCCTAACCTCTAGGCCTTTGAACCAGCATCCAACGCTATTTATCTCTAACTTCAACCAAACCACGGAATTGCACGACCATCTTCCATTGCCCGCGGTGGATAATAACCTCACACTCAACCCAGTTGAATTCCACTGGCCACTACTTATTTATTCACAAAATAACATTATGTTGTACTTATAACAAACTATTTTGTATTTCTAACTTATAAAGAGAGAGAAATAGAAAAAAAAACGTTTGACTAAAAATCTGACAACAGTAACCCTAAAACTCATAAATCAAACAATAACAACATTATTCCAATGAATATTTCATCGTTTTTCTTTCTTCCTTTCAAAGTTACTTTCACAATTGATCGAATGACATTGGAAGTGGTGATATATATATATATATAGGGGTGGGTAGGTTGTTGACACGACTCGTTAATGATTGATTATACAAAGTCAGAGACATGTTGATCAATTTCCTCATTGTAAATGTAGAATTATTAACGAATATTTATTTTTGCTTTGTCCTTAAATGTTCTACTAAATAGACATGTAAACTAAAAACGGGTACACTTAGGAATAATAATAATAACAGTAATTATTATGTTTATTAAATGTAATCTATTCATAACATCATTTCATAATCAAAAATGTCAATAATACATTAATTCTCTTTAATTAATTCACAATCTATTAATTAATTCAGTACAGTAGAATTGAACGTAAAATTACATAAATTATATATAAATATGACCTGGACAACATTCAAAAAATAAATGTTATTTTCCTAACCGTTTTGTTTTTCTAAACTAAACTGTTCAATATGTGTGCATATATATATGATGTATAACAGGTAGAAAAATGTTCCAGTGACGGCCTGCTTGAGCATCTGGGCTACCTGTTCCTGCCATCTAGACATTTCATCAAGTGCATTTCTGAAAAGTGTACAACCTTTCGTTGTCAAAGTTACAAAAAGCTCAATAAGAGACAATGCGGTTTCTGACAATATACAACGAAAAGAATGTACATCATTCAGATGTTCATTTACTGGACTGATAACATCTAACTGGTGATCACTCAATATTTATCGCTAGGACCGACCAAGAAGAAAGAAACGGAAACTTGTTGAAATACTTTGCGCTGAGAATTCTATATTGTACCAAAAATATATTATTGAATAAAGCTAATAATAATAATAATCATGATAACAGAATATGGTAAGACTATAGTTGATGGACGACCTTTGAGCGACGCTAAACTGACCTTGAGAGTGTCCACTTAATAACCAAGATCAAATGAGGGTTATAAACCAGTGTGAGGAATTATAATTATAATTTATAATTGATGATTAAGCTTAGAAATTAGATTTCGGGTTTTCATCATGAATTGACATAAGTTAAAATGGCAAGATGGTATTTATCCAAATGGATTAGTGAATTTCGCGCTAAAATCCAAATGTAGAATTTAATTAAAGCTCTGTGTTTAATTGAATTAATTGAATAAACATAGCAATCACTTATTCATTAAATGGATTTATTTTTATGTAGATTTTAGCGACATTTGATGATCGGCTCAGTGGTCTAGAGGTTAAGCGTTCAATTACGAGACCGTTAAGTCCTGAGTTTGAATCCCGCAGGGCGGGACCATGGATGCATACTGCTGAGGAGTCTCACAATAGGACGAAACGACCATCCAGTGTTCCCAGGTTTTTCATGGTGGCCTAGCTCCGATTGACTCGTGATTTTAACTATTAAATTAATAAATATCATTTATAAATTAAATAGTGAGAAAATGTTCTATCCCAAAATTTGTACAGTGACATTAGCTTATTGTATTATAACTAGTAATGTACAGACGTGTTTCATCTTAGTACGATATTCCTCAGCGGTATGCAAGTATAAAATATTAAGGGACACTAATCACAAGACAGTCAGATCTTTTTTGGAACAATGTATATTCAGCACCACAGAGTATGAGATTTTGATCATTGAAATTTCCAACTACAGATGACTTGAGATATTGCGCTAATAAAAAGTGAAGCTAATTGATATAATGTTTTGACTGAAAAATAAATAAACTCGTATCTTGGGTTCATTAGTTTACATCATGCACTACTCTTAGTTAAACAACTACTGAAAACTAAGTAGCTATAGTGTACACCCGTGAGCCGACTTAACATAACATCGAAGTCTTACCGTAAATAATGAACATTCAAATCACTGAGTCAGCATCCAGTAAATATTATTTATTACCACAAAGTTCAACAATATTCGCAAACCACCTTATAATGATAACAGACTAACCAGTAGCCGAAATTGGGAGCTAATCCTCGGAGATGTAATGACAAGCCATGTCGGATGTAACTCAGTTACCCAGCATTAGGACTGGATAATAGTTCTTGGATAGCACAAACTATCTGAAGTTAGAAATGTAAACCACGGGAAACCTTATCAATAATCTAAATGTTGAATATCCACCATGAGAACTGGAAGTCTTAGGTTCTGTTCAAACAAGGGTCATGGATGTACACTGTTCACAGTTCTCATAATGGAACGAAACAGGTACTAGATGCTTCTCAGTTTTCAATGATTATTCAACTAAAATCATTTCATGATGTAATCTGTTAGTTTTTAAAACAATCTACTGATTTCCTTCAATTTATTTTATTTTTATTATTTTTATTTTAATTTCAATTCAATTCAGATCCATCAAGAAAATCAGGAGATTATGGAATATGCAGTGCCATTTTAATTACAATTTCATACTTATTCATACTTATTACATTTCCTTTCTCGTTATTTTTCTGTATTAAAGTAAGTTAATCTTTTTCTAGAATTAATTTTTGTAAATAATACAGAGTTATTGTAGTTTTCATACTTAATTTTGTTTCTTTCACACTGACCAGTACTGAGCTCACTTACTTACTTACTTACTTACACCTGTTACCCCCAATGGAGCATAAGCCGCCCAGTACTGAACAATGTAATCTAAATGACTGAAATGAGAAATATAAACCATTGAATTCTAATTAAGTGATATTGAGTTATCGTTTGTTTATTATAAGATTAAAATATCTTGTATTTCTTGTTTGTATAACACTGCAGTTCCAAATTGACAAAGAATTCTAAACTAGAACAAAACAAGCATCCAGTATTATTTCATTGATACCAAATTCTAACATAAGCATAAAGGTGACGAATACTGACTATTTGAAATTGTCATTTTTTTGTAGCAAAGTTGAATTGCAGCTTATCGTGAAATCTAGGACATAGTTTTTTTCCAATTTCAAACTTGTTAATTTGATATATCTGAATTTTATTGTTGACGTTCACGTTAAGACTTGAAACCCAGTACCATTCTGTTCAAATACAAAAGTATTATCCGATTAATAAATACCAAGTTGGATAGAAAGCACTGTTTAAATTCCAATCCTATCCATAATATAACCCTACTAAAACTTATAACTAAAGGTAATATCGATGGAATCTACTCTAAATGGTCATATGTCATTAAAGACTACTTACTTACTTACTTACTTACTTACGCCTGTTACTCCTCGTAAAGGAGCATAGGCCGCTCACTAGCATTCTCCATCCAACCCTGTCCTGGACAATCATTTCCAGCTCCTTCCAGTTGTTATTCATCTTTTTCATATCTGCTTCTATTTCTCGACGTAATAATAATAGTATTATTAAGAGTTTAAATAGAAATCAGTTAATTCTAAATTATATTAACACAGAAATTCTCTTTGTGAAAAAAATGTCACATAAATTATTATTATCAGAATGAGTTTTGTGGAGATTTTTAGAAATTTCACTTGTTGAAATCATGAGTCAATTGAAGCTAGACCACCATGGAAAACCTGGAAGTACTGGACGGCCGTTTCGTCGTTTCGTGGATGCGCACTTCTGAAGAGTCCTATACTAGGACGAAACGGCCGTCCAGTGCTTCCAGGTTTTTCATGGTGGTCTAGCTTCAATTGACCCATGATTTCAACAAGTGACATAAATTATTACATAATTTCTAAATTATCTATTCATCACAGCATATAGCTATGCATATATTACCTTCAAAATAAAGTGAATAAATAATACATGAAATCGAATTAACAAGTAGGTCTCTATGCTACATACGAATACAAATAGTGATTATAGCATATAATGAAAATGGATAAGAGTAATAAAAAGAAGTATACTTTGTATGTATCTTATATTAACAAATGCTGTTGTAAATGTACTGTTATATGTTATATGTTTGGTACACAACTTGAATGTTTTGTATGAAACCGTCATGACATAGGTTAAAATATATATGATAGTGTATTTAACTCAGTTGATATGTATATGTCATAGATAATACTGTCAAATTATCTCGTTTATAAAATGAATACGAATTTTTTCGAGAATACATACATTTTAAGCATTCATACTGGTAGACGAACTATAAGCAAGGATGAACGAAACAGTATTTGAATCGACTATGAAATCAATCAACTTATGAATTGCTATCTCAGTATTTCTATGGATCACATTGGCCTAATGTAATATAGATAAACAGATATAGACAAGTACACATATTTAAAAAAAGGTAAACGAATGAAAGGTCACTATCATTTACCTATAAATATATACACTGTAAGTATCCTACTTTGTATAAGTTCAAATAAGGCCTGGCATCAATCTGTCATGTCAATTCATAATACAATTGTAAATTTGGCTACATATGTGTGCATGTAAATCTTTCCGTTTTTTGATGTTGAAGATTGAATTTCGATCAGTCTTTTTTAACATATGCACATAATGAGCGGATGGACTTGATAATGCCACTAAGTAGCAAGTATTTAAGTATAGTTGGATCGTAACTAAAAATGAAATCTGGGAAGCGTAATTCGTTCTAATTTGATGAAAATTCAATCTTTACCATCAATCATGAGGATATGTAAACATCTATAAATAAATAATAAGGTTCGTTCCAGTTGTACAAGCTAGTGGGTGTTCGAATTTAGCAGTTCAGTGGACCGGCTTCGAGTTCTGGTGTGATGTGATTATATTATATTTCCTTGAAAAAGCTTGGACTAGATTCCTAAACGAAACGTTGGATTTACTTCAAATTTATTCGTCGAGATTTTACGAATACATTCCTTTTTAATGTCATACAGATCCGGTTGAAAATATGCCACATATAAAGTGGCATATTCATATGTCGGTTTAATTTAGTTTCGAGGTTAAATAAATCCATACTGTTATAACTTGTGGCCTTAGGCCCCTATCAGTATATGACGTAATGATACTGCCAATTCGAGAACACTGAATTATCGGTTGGACCAGTGACGCATAAAACCCGTAAAAGCAGCCCGGCTTCGTGCCTAGCCCAGCCAGTTAAGTCAAGAACATCAATCTCAGACTCTGCAATATGAATCATTTGTTTCAAATATACTGGGTTTACATACCAATCAGACAGACCACATTGTACCATAAAATAGAAAATAACATTTGTACAAGAATTAGCCAAAAGTGTCTGTGAATATGGGAGATAGTAAATGATAGAGTGGGTATAACTCAGGAATGGTAAATCGTATAGTAACAGTTCATAGGTCAAAATAAAGCTTATGTTAAAGTAGAACACGAATATGAATAGTTCAGTCATTTAACAATTAAACGATAAAAATATACGCATGGTATTGGTCCATAAATGGGTCTCAAAAGTTACCATTCATTATTCTCATCAAGATATAACACATTTCACCAGTCTTTATGTTCTGGCAGTGTGTTGTCAGATTAGAAGGGGTTACAATAACAAGCACAAGTTAGTCAAGCAATTCCACAGACAATAGTGACCGCACAACAATAAATAATATTTAACTTTATAATTTAGAACTAAATGACTCCTTATTTTATTTGTTTACATAATTATCTGCAGTAAATAATTAAATATTGAACAAAATTTCCTCATTTTTTGAAAAAGGATTAACACTTTCTTATAAATTACTATCTTCAAATTATTTTACACAATGTATATAATGTCAAGATAAAATGGTGGTTGGAAGTAGTAAACAGGAAACCCTAGACCCGGGTTTCCTGCTACTTGGTGCTCGTCAGCAAGGTGTACCTGTAATCTTAAGGAAACTGATGCTCCCAGACAGATTTCATCCCGTGCCACTCAGCTTCACAGTCAGAGACATTACTACTAAGCTATCCAGGCCGCGACTTACATAGTGCACGCAATGTCGAGTCACCTAGACTGGTAGCTACATTGTAACTTGATCGATAGCATTCGATCTACACTAAGAGGGACCTGACACCTGATATTGATCACCACCCAGTGATCAATCAGTTGAAAAGTATATCGTGTCTTTTTTATGTAACTTTTCAAAACACACTGAACCAATCTGGCAGGAAAAAAATGAATTTTTATTGAAAAATTCTTCCACTTTGCAAAGATTTATTCTAAAATGATTGTTGTTTTGATTCTCCTATTCAACGTCTCGAATTAGAAAATTTATCACATAGTTACTTAGGAAACAATTTGTGTTAGAATATGAATAATGAAATGAACAAAAGAAATCATTTACAAATTGAATATCTTGAATATAAACAGTAAGGCTGAAATGTAGATTACATCTAACTGATAGTTTCTATATAGAACAATATTTCATGCTTAATTTCACTTCTAGTAACCATTTAAAATATAATATTATCAAGAGTGTTACAAGATCAATGTGATTCATTCATTCACCTAAACAAACATTTAGCCGTAAGAACTTCAAAGGAATACTGATGGAGATAAAACACAGTAACTGATTTTTAAAAAAAAAAATTATATTTAGGGTCATTTAAAATGAATTTTAAGCAAACATGGATAGTGGCTAACACTGAAATCCAGGACTCACGTTTCGTCCTATGTCAGACTCGTCAGTTGGATGTAACTGTATCTCAAAGTTGATGTTCACTCTGGGACCCGAACCATCACGTTATCCACTTGACTACTGAGTCCTGGTAGCCACTTGCTTGTGCAATAGGGTGAAGTTTAAATTCACTTGATATTGTTTACATGAATCTCCCCAATGATGTTTAGGACTGTAATTGATCAGTCTCTCACTGGAATATGTGCATCCTGTATGGATCGTCATGATATTGCCTTAAGTCACAACATTATAAGCAAAGATGGTTGATGGCTAGCAGTGGAATCCGGGACGAGCACTTCGTCCTATTTGAGACTCGTTAGCTGGATTTATCTAGAGATTCGAAGAAAAATCCCATAGAATAGAACCTACTAAATAGTATGATGTAAAACTGATTTGTTTCACATCAAATTTAGGCTTAAAACAAAAAAAATATTGGGAATAAATTTTAGATTGGTAAAGATTTAAGTATTATTTTATTTATTACAAGAAAGTAGGGACAATCTTACTAACCTGACAGCTAAACTATCTAAGTTTTCTCTTTATATTCAATCATTCTGAAAGAAATATTGTATATTTGTGAAGGAAAGAGAATAATTGAAGAGTTTCTTTTTTCTGTGTGTGCATACAAACTGATTAGTTTCACTAATGATGATTCTAAAACATACCAATAGTTATTATAGTTAAATATATTACATATATGATTTACAGAGTGTACTATTTAATTTTATACCATCTAGGGTTCTATGAAGTTATTTATTATTCTGTATACTTTTGTTTTCAATTATAGGTTGTAGCTGAATATGAAAGAGCAGTTATATTTCGATTAGGACGAATTCTGCCTAAAGGTGCTCGTGGACCAGGACTTTTCTTTATTGCACCATGTATTGATTCAATTCGTAAAGTTGATTTACGAACTGTAACATTTGATGTTCCGCCTCAAGAGGTAAGACATATATATATATATATATATATATATATATATATATATATATATATATATATATATATATATATATATATATATATATATATATATATATATATATATATACTTGTTTAAGTATTGATGGGTTTTGTGACTGATAAATCTTTTTTTTCCTTCAAATTGAAACATATGATAACCAAAATTATTCCATTGTTATAAGTTTGGGTTTGTAGAGATTGTTAAGATTTTGATTGTGATCATGAATCGACTAATGTTAGAACACTATTAAAAACCTGGAAACACTGAACGGTCGCTTCGTTCTGTCATGGAACTCCTCAGCAGTGCGCATTCACGATGCCGCATTCGGTAACCTAACCTAGGACGTTTGGTCTCACATGTGAACGCTTAATCTTTAGACCACTGAACCTGAATTCAACGGTGTTTATGTCTAACTTCAATCAATCCACCATCTTCTATTGTCTGAGGTAGATACCTGTCTCTACCTGACACAGATTAGCTTCACTGATCATGACTTTTATTGTTATTTTATGGAGAAGAATGTTTGCTTAACTGTATAAATATATCTTTAATAATGTATATTGTATAAATAAACTGATTTAAAATTATATTTATTTATCAGAGAAAAGAATATGAACCATTAAAATTACTACTGCGTGATTGGAACAGAATTCATTTTATAATAATCTTGAAATAATTAGTCTGGTAATTTTTAGTTAGATATGCAAATATGTAGATTTCACTTCAAAACTTTTTCATCTTAGTTATTTACCAATGACATCAATGATTGATGGAATTATTAATTTATATTGATATTCATTAGTCTACTTTATTGATATTTAATTTGGGATGTTTCTGAACATGTTTAAGATGTTTGGTTTCATGATGGATTATAATAAACTGTTGAAAAACTCATCATTATAATATATTTTTTTGATTAAAATCATGAACCGATTGATGTTAGACCATCATTGAAAATCTGGAAGCACTGGACGGCCGTTTCGTCCTTTTGTGGGACTCCTCAGCAGTGCGCATCCACGATCCTGCACCCCGCGAGATTCGAACCCAGGCTCTATCGGTCTCGCCCCAGGCGCTTAACCAACTAGACCACTGAGCCGGCATCCAATGGTGTTAATGTCTAACCTCAACCAATCCATGAAGGTCTAACATCAATCGGTTCATGATCTCAATCAAAAATTTAACGATCTCCACAACCCCTAAGTCAGCGCTGTTAGACAACCCTTCAACTGATAATATTATATCTAATTTATCCTGTTTCAATTTATATTACTGGTTAGGGTTTTTTCTTTAAAACAAGGTCGTTTCTTTACGGGATGTGTATGCTGACCCCACGCTCAACCTTCCTCCTTTACCCAGGCTTCAGATCCACAGTAACCGTTGAAGACCTATAAGCGAAATTTTCAACCTATGTTACTTACGTTATAATATAATACGTTATGAATTATTAAGCTGTGAAAGGATTAGTGAATGTAGGTCAGATATATTTTCTTGGAGATTCAAGATCTCTTAAATTTTTAAATTAGTTATCATCATGTTTATACAAATACTAAGATCAATTCAAGAAGAACTAAAAACTAATATGAACTTCATATGTATTTCTCCTAGGTTTTTGGAATTTCTCAACAATACATATGAATCATATCAGATATACATTTAGGTTAAAAGCTTTCAGATACATCATTTATGATCAAGTTCAATCATTAGACTGATGTTGTAGATAATAAATACTACACTTTTTTTAGACATGATTAACTAATTTCTTAAGGTTATTCCAAATATATTTGTAAATCAACTTCTTCAAATAGTAACTGAAAAAAAGGGGTTGACATTTAAAAAGAGGAATGTGTTTTCGGGGTGTTGTGATCATTTTTTAAAAGACCTTCGATGTTAAATATTATCTTTATTTAAGTCATTCATCAAAATGATCACGTGTAAAGTTTAGTTTATGTAAGGAAAAGAAGAAAATTTTAGTTATGTCTAATTTATATTTTGCTGTCATACAGTCAAATATAAATTTCTATACATGAATACACAAAATTTACTGTCAGATAAAGAGATTAATGTTATATTAGATGATGGTTGGAGGTAGTCTACAGGAAACGCTGGACTCGGGTTTCGTGCTACTTGGCACTCGTCAGCAAGATGTACCTGGGTCCAGGGTTTCCTGTCGACTACCTCCAACCACCATCTTCTCTTGACATAGTGCACGCAATGCCGAGTCACCTAGACTGGTGGCCACATTGCATCATGATGACCATGAAAAACCTGCAAGTACTGGATAGCGTTTTCGTCCTATTGTTAGACTCTTTAGCAGTGCACATCCACGATCCCACCTCGTGAGATTCGAACTCAGGACGTACTAGTCGCACGTGCGAACGCTTGACCTCTAGACCTATAAACCAAAAAACCCCTCCTGATATTAAAAACTCATAAGTTGAATAATATCATTTTTGTGGATATCAATTTTATGAGAGAAGTAGACAACAATATCTTGTTCTTGAATATTTTAATCAATCAAACAAACACAGGAACTTTGGAAATACAAATATACAGACAACCAAGCATCACAAATCAAATGTTAAACAACACTAGTAACAACTCAACGGTACTTAAAAGGATTTGTGCTCAAACACTTCTTGAAAGAGCCGAAACTCACTGAAGTATTTTCACTACATAAAAATGTTGGGAAACTCATTTAAAAAGTTCATCTTGTTTTAGAACGGCTACCCCAAGACGTTTGATCAAAAGATATCTGGTCAACTAACAAACTGTCTAGAAAACAATCTCAGTAATAGAGAAAACGATCATTTTATTAAGTATGAGAAATATCTTAGAAACTATTGCATGGTTCTTGTACCTCTTTAGTGTTAGCGTCACGCACAAACCAACACAGTCACTTTATTCTATTCTATTCAAATCAAATAGCCTAACATCAAAGGAAGACAAATTTAATATTATTCACGAAATAAATTGAACCAATTGCGAAGAGTATTACGTAGGACAAGATGCGCGCTCCTTTTATCTTTGCACAAGTAAACAAATATTAGCAGTTAGGTAAAATGATATATTATCAATGATATCAATTCATATTGATAACCATGGACACTAATTTGATTGTGTAAATGTCCAAATTCTGGATAGGGGCAACTCTTAGAGTTCCAGAGAAATTCTATAAGCACGGAATTCAAATAAATTAGTAGTCAACACACACATCAACATTGACCCAGTTTATGAAGCTATACAGAGAATGTCAGTCAGTCACAACGTCATAGGTAACTAAACCCACAAAGGCAGCCAGTCATAGACAAGTCATTTAGAATGGACCGATATAATACTTATGCAATAGTTAGAAAGCTCACTTTTACATGATGTAAGCGATGAAGATGTTGTTCAGGATGATAATGAAAGCTTCGCAATAAAAAAATCTAGCTCAGTGTACTTAACACAATCAGAAAAAACATTGGACACAGTTAATAAGCGTTTCTTCCTAATGATAAAACCAGTATAAATCTTATTCAACAAACAATAACCACTTAGACATACTAATATTTTCTTTGTTTTTTCTTCTTCAGGTTCTTACGAAAGATTCAGTAACAGTAGCTGTAGACGCGGTAGTTTATTATCGTATATATAATCCTGTCGTAGCCATAACAAATGTTGAAGATGCTGATCGATCAACACGCCTACTAGCAGCGACTACATTAAGAAATGTTCTAGGTACAAAGAATTTAGCTGAGATTTTATCTGAACGTGAATCGATTTCAACATCTATGCAGGTAAAAAGAAAATTTTGATTGATTTTATAACTTTTAATAAATTTCTTTTTAATCTTTACTATTTTGATTATTACCCTGAAGAAGTCCAGACAAGTTAGCTGGACGAAACGTTGGAAATATTCAAATTTCAATCGCTGAGATTATTTCAAATAATAATTTTCACATATAATGACTTCTCTATACTCGGCGGCGCCAAATCTCTGTCAAACTATTCGTTCTAATCTTGACGAATATTCGTATGATACATTTTATATTTCTTAGTTTTATGCCCAAAGTTAAATAAAGTTTAAATAATCAGATATGTTAATCATTGTCAATGATGATGAAAACAAACGTAAATGTAGAATAATTGATTCAATTGTTTGTACAATAGTAAAATAATGATAATAAATTGTAGGATATTAGATAACATACTGTAGATATATTCGTTTTGTAATGTGTTATTGGAGATGATTGAATTGGAATTTTCATACAACGGATTAACTATGGATAGATATCTGTGAAAAATAGAAAAGCATTAGATAGTTATACTTACAATTGGTTTATTTCGAGAGGTAATTAACTGCAGTTCTAATGAATAACCGTGAACAGGAGAATTCAGTCACTTTGGATTTGAAATAAATACCACCAAATCCCGATGGATAATGGTCATTTAATAACACAAATTGAATAACAGCAGAAATGTAAACAATTGGACGTCAAATTAGTGTTCTGAAAGTTAATCACTCTTCAAGAGGTCTGAACGTCTTGGATTCAATTCCCACTTCAGTCGTAAATGTGTAATAGGAGAGAGTCTTAGTCTAGGATGGAACATCTATCAAGTACTTCCCGGTTCTTAGTGGTTGTTTGGAAATTTGTCTGAAAAAATTAGTTTTGTTTATTGCCTGGTCTTAAAACAATCTTCAACATGCCTTGCTTGATTCATATCTATTTTCAATTGGAACTCATAGGTAAACTATATCTACGGTACTGAAACAACTAATCTCGGCAAACATTAAAATATATTATATACGATTTTCATTAATTCAAACCAGTTTTTAGATCGTAACATAATCGATAGAGTTAGGTCATGGTTAAAGATCTAGATGAACATGATGTGAAATGCTACTTAGTGATGAGTCAGTAGAAAAGTATTTTTATTTAATATACTTAGATTGTGGCTAGTAATAGAGCTCGAGACATGCGTTTTGTCCTATTTGGAACTTCTCATCGGGATTCCACTGTTAACTACAATTCATCTATTCTAAATACTTTGTAACAAAATGGCTACGTTGACGGTAATTGTCACATAAGACCCATATACTTGTAAGTACTGTATAAAGTTTGATTTTAAATATAAACAACAAGACAATAAAAACCCCTATAAATTTAATATCCAAAATCTTTTAATTATGAAATGAATGTTTGCATTAAGATATGACGGGAAAACACGGTAAACTTTATGATCCAACTTAAGACAGACAGTGAATGTACTTCACGTTTAATACATTAAAACCCATTTGGTTAAAGAAATATCGAACAATAGGATTCAGTGTGTTACTTAATGTGCTAAATACTCTGTAAATAATCCTACGCAATAAAGAAAGGAAATAATGAAAATCACACATACCAATTTCATAAATCTCAAGTGATATGAGCCCATTGACAATTACTGTCGAACATATCGAAAACCATATGCATAGTTTATTTTGATCAATAGTACACATGAGTCAGTTAAATCATTAGTAAATACTTGGAAGCACTGGATGGCCGCTTCGTCCTCCTATAGAACTCCTCAGCACTGTGCATCTTGTGTAATAATCAAATCCATTTCACGTGGAGACAGTTATCCACTTCAGACAATAGATGAAATGTTGCGAATAATCATGAATCTATCGAAATTGGACATTAACATCGTTGGATGTAGGCTCAATGGTCTAAAGGTTAAGTGTTTGCGCACGATATAAAAGGCCATGGATTCGATTACTACAAGCGCAATCATGAATGTTCACTTCTGAAGAGTCATCTACTAGAACGAAACGACCATCCAGTGTTCTTAGGTTTTCAATAATGATCTAGCATAGATTAATTCGTGAATTCAACTATTAAAATTATAATCAGATCATAAAGTTATTGAATAAATTATCCATAAAAAAGAAAGAAATTTTTCTGACATTTAAATTATAAACTATTTTAACCTTTGAAATGCCATTTGATTAAATCCCATAGAAAAGGACATTTTTTTCATTCTACAAGCTTTTATTATTCAGTTTCTGTTTTAACAATAAAAAAACAGGAAATTATTTTAGTTTTACGATAATAAAAGTAAAAAGGAAACTTTTTGTTTTAAAAAATTGAACATTTTGATTTTAACAACGAAAAACAACTGCTTATCGTTTTTAAGCAGTGGAATCCAGGACTCACGTTCCACTCTATTTGAAACTCGTCAGCTGGATGTACTTGCATCTCAGAGTTGATGGTCACTCTGGGACTCGAACCTAGTATCATTCGCTTCAAACACTATCGCATTATCCACTTAGCTACTGAGTCCTGATAGCTACTTGATTGTGCAATGGGGTGAAGTTTAAATTCACTTGATGTTGTTTTATTTGTATTTAGGACTGCAATCGATCAGTCTCATTTTAGCATATGTGCATCCTATGCGAATTGCCTCGATATAGCTTTAAGTCAAAAGCTTTTTATTAATTTTTCTTTTAATGTAAAAAAACAAACTTCTGAAAAATTTGAATATTTTTTATGATTATCAATATATATATTAAAGTTTGTACTATAAACTTGTACTTGTAGTGTCGGTTACTATGTCAAGCCCATATAACGTATACTAGCTTTTGAACATGCCTATTTATCCTTTCTTCCCGAGTCACGTTTTGACCTTGTTAATTATTCACTTATCAACCTTGACTTTTTATATGAGCATATGTATTTACACTTCTTATCCTATTCATCACATGTCTGTAACATATTTTTATCTGGCTATAAATATTGATTAACGCTTAGTTAAATTGAGTTGATTTACTCGCCTTCTCCATTGCGCATCATTTTGCTTCGCTCTCTTCTCTTCACTTCATTCCCTGATTGTCTGTTCAACCCAATGAGTGCATGAAATATATATAATTAGAATCCATTATCGTATATGACTTATTGAATTCCATTATTCACTAACACGAATCAAGTCGATAATTATATACGAGGATCGACGATATATATATATATATATATATATATATATATATATATATATATATTTCGACAGCAATCATTCATACGATCTAAGTGGAAACAGACATCGGGTCACAAAAGTGCTGAGTCCTTCGACATCTTCTGATCTAATTGACGTCAAAAGGAAGAGCCCAACTAAGTACTTTTGAAATAAATTATTATGATTATTAATGGCTTTATTCAATATTGTATTTTTGGTAAAATATAGAATTCTCAACACAAAGTATTTCAACAAGTTTCTTTTTCTTATTTCGTGATCGATCCTGACGATAAATATTGATTAATCTCCAGTTAGATGTTATCAACTTAGGGATCGATGTTTGAATAATGTCCATTCTTTTCAGTGCATATTGCCAGTCATCACGATGTCTCCGATTGTACTTTTTTGTAACTTATACAGCGAAAGATTGTAAACCTTTCGTAATTGCACCTGAACAGGTTATACGATTAGTCGATATAATGATGTGCTAAAACAAACAAGGAAACAAATAAATAATATATTTTTAATATCCCAATGAGTTGAAAACTTAGATTTTCTGACGTTTCGTGACTTAGTGTAAGCCACTTCTTCAGAGAATAAATAACCGATTATTTTTCTACTCATCGAGATATTACAAATATATTATTTATTTATAACAATCTACCCAATGCTTAATTTATTCGAAATTATCAAATCAAACCTTGGTAATGATACCTACAAACAAGGAAACAGATAACTTGTTGAAATATCTAGATGACAGGAACAGGTAGCCTAGATCTTCAAGTAGACTGTTGTGCTTATACTGATTCTTATATAGTCACTTGGCTTTCAAAGAATGTAACACTGTATTAAACATGGTTATTTTATGGCTAAAACACTTTTACTCTGTTGCTATATTTTTAATAAATCTATGACATCAGTATATCAAAACGTCTGCTTTTCATCATTTTTGTATTTTCACTTTCTATGTTGGTATGAAGTGTATCAGTTATGTTCTCTGAGTCTGACAGTTTAGTGGTGAAGCATGAATTAGACCTTCTCGCCATTATCATTGGTACATATCTGTCATATTATTTAGAAGGACAATTAATTGTTGCACGATTACTATAACTAGTTCAAAAACCCTACATATAAAAAATCCACCTACTGAACTGCAAATCATCTTTATGATCTATTGTATCAGATTAAAACTGTCAACTCAATGGTAGAAGGTTAAATACATAATATGAGGTCTGTAGGTCATAGGTAGTAGATATATATTGCTGAGGAGCTTACTACTGAGAAGAAAAAGTTGTTTAGTATTTCCCGGTCTTAAATTTTTTGTCAAACTAAAGTCAACCTGCACCATACAACTTCATAAGAATGACAAGTGTTTGTTTTCCCCATTTTTTTTCTCTCTCTCTATTAGACAATGCTTGATGATGCAACTGATCCATGGGGCGTGAAAGTAGAACGTGTTGAAGTGTAAGTAAATTCATAATATATTTGTTTGATAAAAGAAAATACATATAACTGTCTTAATTTATATTCCATAACTTATATGTTACAAATCACGTTTACATCTATAATTTAAAAGAATGCTTTTGGTAATAACTGTACTCCCTTTGTGCAGTTTTGAAAATTATCAATGAATTCAAAACTATGCTAGAAATAAGAGATTACACTTAATCGTCACGTTGAATTATCCTCTTTTTAAATGAAATAAGAAAAGAATTTCCTGGAGTTCTAGCGGAGAGCCATGACTACTAGATGCAGTTGTGTATGCTGATTAATATTTATTGATTTCTAGCGGGTAAGCAATGTAGGCCAAAATGGATTTGCTCAGTGAATGTGGTTAATAGACCAAATGAATCCTGTGAATAGTGTTAAGTTTGATAATAATTAATAGTATGGATGGATGAGAAAATTTTTTTTTAACATGGGTGAATAAACTAAAATTATGCATGCTGATGAGCGCCAATCATCTAAGCATTCTATGGTAACAGTCCGCTGATATTGAATGGTAGTGAGGTTGTTAGCGACCAAACCACATCAAAAGCGTTGGATTTCGTCGGATCACCAAAGTCAAACTATCTTGGGCCCGATATACCGGGCTAAACACCATTCGCATTATAACTACGTAAACACATAAATTTATTTACTGACAAATACCTAACACATTGCCACAAAAATGATTCAAACCAATCGGTAACTCAAATTTGGAGCACATCATTTTCAGTTGCACTATCGTCAAGAGAATTATCTTTCAAAATCATCTACACAGTCGAATGAATTGTTTAAAAGAGTTTTTAATTAAGAATCATGTGTACTGAGACTGTATAAATTAAAAAATTCAAACCGTAACTATGTATCAAAGTAGAATGCATAATTTCTCATTCTACTATGGTTCTACACCATTTTTAAATATTTTTTATAATTATCATTTTATTTCATGGTTTCTAGTCACCCACTCACAACCGTATTCGTGATAAAGTATAGCATCGAGATATGATATAGTATAACTTATTAGATATTGATAAAGGAAGGAATTAGAATAACAAAGATTATCTATAATAACTATATAAATGATATTCTATACGAATATTTGTCAAGATTAAATTGAATAGTTTGACAGAAATTGGAAGCCGAGTAACGAGAAGACATTATATGTGAAAATTATATTCGATATAATCTCAGCGATTGAAATTTGAATAATCCCAACGTTTCGTCCAGCCAATTTGTCTGAACTTCTTCAGGGTTATAATCAAAATCATCAAAGAAAGATATAGCTTTTTAACAATCATAACTATACTGTGTTACACCAATCAAACTTGGATGTTGATTTTTTGTAAAATAGGATAAAATGAGTCAGTTAACTACAATTCATGTGAAAAAATCAACTACATGGAAATAATTAACTGAATAACAAATTGTATGTGTGTGAGTGTGTAGATATGTATGCATATTTGAGATTATTTATTGATGTTCTGTGTTGATATGATGGATATTGGCTAGCAGTGGAATCCAGGACGCGCGTTTCGTCCTATTCGAGACTCGTCAGCTGGATGTACCTGCATCTCAGAGTTGATGTTCATTCTGGGACTCGAACCCTCAAAGCATGTGAATTAAGGCAATATCGAGGCATACGCACAGTGTGCACATATGCCAATAACAGACTGATCAATAGCAGTCTTAAACCTCAATGGGAAGATACAAGCCAAACAATACCAAATGAATCTGTGTTGATATGTTATATATGAAGGATTAAATAAATAAAAGTGCAAGTTCAAGGTTGGTAAAATTGTTAGTGAATCATCTATGTACATGTCAAACAAATACTTAAATTGTATTGCTGAAAAACTCATTGAAATCTGTCAAAAACAACGATGCATGTGAAATAAACAGGTTGAATAAAGATGGAGTTCAAATTACTTGTCATAACGAAATTTGCCAGGTAGTCGCAAGTTGAATACCATCTTTTCGTTTCAGGCTGTTCTTGTTCGCCAATATATAAGAGTGTATTTTAGGGCGAGTAACACCTTAAGATCGACGTTAGTGAAAGTTAAGGACAGGTTACCAAAGGAAGAACAACAGAATATTGTGTATGAGATCAACTGTCATGATTGTAATGGGGCCTATGTTGTAGAAACATCTAGACAATTGAATGTGAGATTGAAGGAACACAAACAATGTTTGAAAAATGTTCCCGAATCCTCGGTTGATTTGGGGAAACTTGAGAATAAGTCTGCGATAGCGTTATATGCATTAAAAACAGGGAGGGGACCAAAATACTTCAGAAAGGTTTTAACACCCATAAAGAAAGATTGACAACTGAAGCGCTGTATATAATCATCGACTTAACTCGCATTAGTGAATAACGCAATTAAATAAGTCAAACACGAGAATGTATGTTCGAATATGTATATTTTGTACACTCGTTGATCGGAACAGACAATCAGAGAAACTCAGCGAATGAAGCGAAGAAGAAAGAGTGAAGTGAAATGATGTGCAGTGAAGAAGGCATGTAAGCCAAATCGATTTAACCAAGAGTTAATCGATATTTATAGCCAAACAAAAATAAGTTACAGATTATGATGAATAGGATAAAAAGTGCACACACATATGCTCATATAAAAACAGTCCAAGTTGATAAGCGAATAATTAACAAGATTAAAACTTGACTCAAGAAGAATGAATAAATTCATCTATTTGAAAGCTAGTATAAGCTGTGTGGACTTAACATAGTAACTGACACTATATGTTCTAAATAGACGTTTTATAACTACTGTTGAACTCAATATCTTTCTATCGATCTCTCAACAAAAACGGCGTTCGACAGTTTAGCACATTTCAAATATTGTTAATCTTGAAGATGCCACAGGTATTCGGAGTTTGACAACGCTTTAACCAGTAACACCTATTATGAAGCGTACGCACCAAGTGAAAATCAAAAACAGAAGCGAGGAGGTTCGAAGATATATTTGATAGGCTATCAATATATCGTGAATCAACTGATCTAATCTGGCTAGCGATTGCAAGGGATTTTGAGCACGGCGTTCCCACTTGTGATCTGGTGCGGATGCTTGACCAAGCGCCTTCAGCTAGGTGAGTCCATTAAAACTAATGTGGTCAGCATCCGATGTCGAAAACTTACAGAGCTATTTATTTTGGAGACTTATTTACCGCTACAGTCTGTATAAACAACTCTACAAGTTTCCCAATAAAATAATGACAATCAAGTTATTTTGTAATTTCATAATTTACCCCCTCCCTCTTATAATATTCAACTAAAATAATAATGAGTCGTTTTGTTGTTGTTGATGAAAACTAGAAATATCGCATAATCTATTCAAAATTATCTGATAGATATAATTGAATGTTGATTTTGTTTAAACTGATAAGAGGAACAAAAAAGATTTTATAGCGCCAATTAACTCATGTTGGAGCAACAACAACAAAGAAACTTCTTTTTGAAATAAGATCTATTAAATAATAAACAACATAATTCTAGAATGTTTTTTGGAATGTCTAAGATAATTTTCTTTCTTAATTGTTATTAGGTCTATGAAAAATTAAATTGAATTTTTGTTAGTTTTAGTTTATTCAGTAAAACTTTGCGAAAGATTTTTTGTGTACTTTAAATAAGTAATTTTCCGATATATATATAGCCCCCAAATGCCCTGATATGGCCGAGAGTGGAGAGAGTCAACTCTCCCTCGCGAAATGCTCTCACATGACCACGTGCATACAACCACTTCCAGGGAAGTTCTACTCACTGCCTTATCGCGCCAGGGGTGTTGTTTGTGAAATTGAGAGGATGAAAAGCGAACTCTGATTCCAAACCAATAGTGTATATGGGCTCCAGTATCCTGAGGGGACAAATGGCGTATGAATTCATTATTGGTCACCGGCTAACATGGGACTGCATTTCCTGACGTTGCTCCATTCACTACCTTATGGATGAGACCTTCATATCAAAAGCTCCGGGTGTGGCCTCCTAAAAAAACCACCGTCTTCGGTTTGGGCATTCGGGCAGTATCCCAGCCTTCACATAAATCGAATGATATATGTGGTTCATATGTGTTTGGTGCCTCCTTGTACCGATGTTTATGTGTTTAAATGAATAAATGAAATGATATATATATATATATATATATATATATATATATATATATATATATATATATATATATATACTTACTTACTTACTTACTTACGCCTGTTACTCCCAATGGAGCATAGGCCGCTGACCAGCATTCTCCAACCCACTCTGTCCTGGGCCTTCTTTTCTAGTTCCATCCAATTCTTGTTCATTTTTCTCATGTCTATCTCCATTTCTCGGCGTAATGTGTTCTTTGGTCTTCCTCTTTTCCTTTGACCTTCAGGATTCCACATGACGGCTTGTCTTGTGACGCAGTTGGGTGCTTTCCTCAATGTGTGTCCTATCCACTTTCAGCGCTTCTTCCTGATTTCTTCCTCCGCTGGGATCTGGTTTGTTCTCTCACACAGTACGTTGTTGCTAATAGTGTCCGGCCAACGGATCTGAAGTATTTTGCGTAGACAATTGTTAATAAACACCTGTATTTTCTGGATGATGGCTTTTGTAGTTCTCCAGGTTTCTGCCCCATACAGTAGAACTGTCTTGACATTTGTATTGAAAATCCTGACCTTGGTGTTGGTTGACAGTTGCTTTGAGTTCCAGATGTTCATCAGTTGTAAATATGCTGCTCTTGCTTTGCCGATCCGCGCCCTCACATCTGCATCAGATCCACCCTGTTCATCAATGATGCTGCCCAAATACGTAAAGGTTTTTACATCTTCCAAATCTTCTCCGTCAATTGTGATTGGATTGGTGCGTTCTGTGTTGTATCGGAGAATCCTGCTTTTCCCTTTGTGTATATTGAGACCTATTGCTGCTGAGGCTGCTGCCACACTGTTTGTCTTCTCCTGCATCTGTTGTTGCGTTTGGGATAGAAGGGCCAGATCGTCTGCGAAGTCTAGATCATCCAACTGCATCTCAGATGTCCATTGTATCCCGCGCTTCCCTTCAGACGTTGACGTCTTCATGATCCAGTCGATCACCAGGAGAAAGAGAAAGGGTGAGAGTAAGCAACCTTGCCTGACACCGGTCTTCACTTCGAACGACTTTGTCAACTGTCCTCCATGCACGATTTTGCAGTGTAATCCATCATATGAGTTCTGTATGATATTGACTATCTTCTGAGGCACGCCGTAGTGTCGAAGAAGTTTCCATAGTGTTGTTCTGTCCACGCTATCAAATGCCTTTTCGTAGTCAATGAAGTTGATGTAGAGTGATGAATTCCATTCAATTGATTGTTCCACAATGATCCGTAGAGTTGCGATTTGGTCTGTACAGGATCTATCCTTACGGAATCCTGCCTGTTGGTCACGAAGTTGTGCGTCTACGCAGTCCTTCATCCTGTTTAACAATACTCTGTTGAAGACTTTTCCCGGTATTGAGAGAAGAGTGATGCCCCTGTAGTTATCACAGTTGCTGAGATCGCCTTTCTTTGGTATTTTGACCAGTAGTCCTTCTTTCCAGTCTGTTGGTACTTGTTCCTCATCCCAAATCTTATTGAAGAGAATGTGGAGTATCCGTGCAGTTGCCGCTACGTCTGCTTTTAGTGCCTCTGCTGGGATGTTGTCCGGTCCTGCTGCTTTGCCACTCTTGATTTGTCTGATGGCCATGCTGATTTCTTCAATTGTTGGTGGGCCAACATTAATTGGGAGGTCCGTGGGTGCTGCTTCGATGTTGGGTGGGTTCAGTGGGGCTGGTCGATTCAAGAGTTCTTTGAAGTGTTCTACCCACCTGTTTTGTTGCTCTTCAATGTTGGTGATTACCTCGCCTTCCTTGCTTTTCACTGGTCGTTCTGGTTTGCGGCGATTTCCAGAGAGTTTCTTTGTCGTGTCATACAATTGTCTCATGTTTCCTTCTCTTGCAGCCTTTTCCACCGTCGTTGCTAAATCTTCCACATATTTACGTTTGTCGGTTCTGATGCTCCTCTTCACTTGTTTGTTTATGTCCGTGTATTCAGCTTGTGCCTTGGCTTTTTCTGCTCTTGTTCGGCTGGTATTGATCGCTGCCTTCTTGTTCCTCCTTTCTTGAATCTTGTCCAATGTACCAACAGTGATCCATTCCTTGTGATGGTGCTTCTTGTGACCCAGGACCTCATGACATGTTGAAGTGATTGCCTCTTTGATCCCCTTCCAGTTGCTCTCCACAGTAGTTCCTTCTCCATTGAGTAGATCATGAAAGGCCTGGAACTTGTTGCTGAGGACTATCTTGAATTTGTTGAGTTTGTTAGTATCCTGGAGAAAGGCCGTATTGAACTTTTGTGATACTGTCTGCCCCGTTGTCCAGTGCTTCTTGAGTTTCAATTTCATCTTGGCGACCAGTAAGTGATGATCTGATGCTATATCAGCTCCTCTCTTGGTTCTCACGTCCTCTATAGTCCTCCTGAACGTTTTGTTGATGCAAATATGGTCGATTTGGTTTTGTGTAGAGTGATCCGGTGAAGTCCATGTGGTTTTGTGTATGCGTTTATGTGGGAATATGGTGCCGCCTATGACCAGCTTATTGAAGGCACATAGATTTGCAAATCTCTCACCATTTTCGTTTCTTTCTCCCAGTCCGTGTCGTCCCATGATGTCTTCATATCCAGTGTTGTCCGTTCCAACCTTGGCGTTGAAATCTCCCATCAGAATGGTCAGGTCCTTTGTTGGGCACTTCTCGACGATTGACTGCAGCCTATTGTAGAATTGATCTTTCGCGTCTTCATTGTAGTCGTTGGTAGGCGCATAGCATTGAATGATGTTCATTGAAATGCCCTCTTTCTTTGTTTTGAAGGAGGCTTTGATGATCCTTGGTCCATGAGATTCCCATCCTATAAGTGCATTTTGTGCTTGTTTGGACAGCATCAATGCAACTCCTTGTGTATGTGGTGCATTTTCTTCTTCATGGCCGGAGTATAACAGGAGCTCTCCTGTAGTTAGTCGTTGTTGTCCAACTTGTGTCCAATGTGTTTCACTGATCCCAAGTACCTCTAGGTTGTATCTTCTCATTTCTGCAGCAATCTGGAAGGCTCTCCCGGTGTCCCACATTGTACGAACATTCCATGTACCTAAATTAATGGTTTCTCTGGTTGTCAGAAGGGGCATCGGCCTCGTAACTTCCGAAGGGATTCGGCTTTCATCATGAGGCGTCATAATTCTTCTAAATGAAGATCTTCTGACTCCCAGGGCAGAGTTTAAAAGGTTTGAATAATTTTTTCTGGTTAGCGTTTTTTTAGCGAGTTATTTTTCTACGGGATGGGGACGCTAACCCCATGCCCAACCCTCCTCCTTTATCCGGGCTTGGGACCGGCAGTAGCCCCCGGAGGGACTCCAGGCGGAGTTATATATATATATATATATATATATATATATATATATATATATATATATATATATATATATATATATATAGTTTTTATATTGAAATTCCGAATCTTTGATTTCTTTGTAATGAACTAGTTCTCTCATGAGTCTTGTTATTGAAACCCCGAATCCAACAACACTTAATGAAAATAACATGACTGGTGATATGGGTTTATTTATGAATACAATCAGTTGTATATTGATTTTATTTACACTTAATGACTAAATAACATTTTCAGTATAGGGTTGTGAAGATTATTAAGTTTTTGATTGACATCATGAACCGATTGGTGTTAGACCACCATTGAAAACCTGGAAACACTAGACGGCCGTTTTGTTTTACTATGGGACTCCTCAGCAGTGCGCATTCACGATCCCACTCGCGGGATTCAATCTCAGCGCCTTCAATCTCGCGCGCGAACGCCTAATCATTAGACCACTGCTAAGACATCCAACAGTGTTAATGCCTAACTTCAACCAATCCACGAAATTGTGCGACCATCTTCCGTTGTACCAAGGTAGATACCTGTCTCTACCTGACATGGATTAGCTCAAATGATCACTGCTTCTTACTAGAACTCCGAGAATTCCCTCACGTAGCTAGTCACTAGTGGGCACATAGTAATTATCAGTATGGGGTTGTGGAGATTATTTAGTTTTTGATTGAGATCATAAGTTGTACTGAGGTAGGTATCTGTCTCTACTTTACATAAATTAGCTCAACTAGTCGCTCGATTTCGTGGATTGATTGAGGTTAGGCATTACCACCGTTGGATGCCTTAGCAGTGGTCTGGTGATTAAGCGTTCACGCGCGAGACAAAAGGCGCTGGGATTGAATCCCGCGAGCGAGATCGTAGATGCGCACTGCTGAGGAGTCCCACAATAGGACGAAATGGCATCCCAGTGTTCCCAGGTTTTCAATGATGGTCTAACACCAATCGGTTCATGATCTCAATTAACATTTATCATGTCATCTTTCAATCCTGACAATAAGTTTGACTTTTCGGATTCAGTTGAAAGCGTTGAAATTGGTGCACATCATATCCCACTTGTAAATACAAGCCACATCAGTATACGACTGAAAGGTTTTTATATTAATATAGACTTAATGTTTAGTTGCATATGGTAATAATGGAAAATAACAACTCAACAAGTTGATGATCTTTGTGGCATTGTGTAGGGATCGAAGTTAAAGAGACTGGTTTAAGGTTAGAGTTTCGAATGATACTAAAAGGTAAGTACATTTAGCCAAGTTCATATAGAACGAAATGTATGTCCAAAATGTTACTTCTAGATTCCATATGAAAATACAATTCTTTTGTAGATACTTATTCATCGATTTGTACAGTTTGTATTCCTAATTCTTTTTTCCATTTATTCTAAATCAAGCTCTTCTAATTTATGTAGATCTTTTGATATAAACTGTGAACCATTAAAAAGATAAGCTTTCTCGATAGCGATTTCACTTTAGAATAAAACTCTTCAACAGTGTATTCATACAATCCCAATGAAACAAATAGACCAGCTCTTAAAATAAATATAAAACAGCACTGTAGTTACTCAACAAAAATCCCTTCACTTCCGATTTAATAAACCACTGATTAATTCCACTTCTTACAAGAAAATCAAGAAATTACATTTCTAATCCATTTCAACTGTTAAAATGTTGATGAATATGATTCTTCTTTTGTAACAGTTTATTTTGACAACTGAAGTTTTAGGGGGTTAGTTTTTTAAAGACATAACTGTATATGTAAGAATAATTCATCATAATAAATATCTCTTATTTAACATTAGATAAAATTAGTTATTATTATATATATTCACAATGATGTATCTTTTTGAATTCACTTGAGAGCATCAGTTCCGTTAAGATTACAGGTACACCTTGCTGACGAGTGTCAAGTAGCACGAAACCCGGGTCCAGGGTTTCTTGTTGACTACCTCCAACCACCATCTTATCTCGACATAGTGCATGCAATTTCGAGTCACCTAGACTAGTGGCCACATTGGAACTTGGTTGATAGCATTCAATCTGCACTAAGAAGGACTTGACCCATATGACATTGATCACCACCTAGTGACCAATGAAATTTGATGTATTAGAATTTTACATAGAGGTAAGAAATAGTATGGGACAATTGACATAAGTGAATGTAAAGAATTGGAATGGCAAAAGTTATCAATAATAACTACATATATATGTGTGCAAGAACATGTCCGAGGTTATTTGGTGTTACAATCATGGAAACATTAAGGATGTGTGATGTATTAGTTGAGTAGAGTTCAGAGTCAGATAACTATTACATCTATATTTTTTGGCTTTATTTAAATTTCTAACATAATTCACTTTTAATTGATTCATTTTCTTTAAATGTTATTATTATTGTATAATTGTTTGATTTATTAAATAAATAATAGTAGTATATGATGATTTTCTTTCGATTTGCTATTATTCTAGAAAAGATGTACGTTTACCTGTACAACTTCAAAGAGCTATGGCCGCTGAAGCTGAGGCTACAAGAGAAGCACGTGCTAAGGTAAAGTTTATCATAAATTAGTATCATATACACTCATTTCATATTATAGCATCCCTGTTATTATTTTATTTTTGACAGAATTTCATTTGTTTATGCTAAATGGATTACATTTTACTTTTTGTAACAAATTTCCGAATCTTCTCTTTATTCAAAAGCTTGATAAAATTGTCTATCTGTTTTGATTTGATGACAATAAAAGTGTATAAAGCTGTTAGATTATTAGTCAGTCAATCAATCATCATAACCAATCAAGGACCTGGATGAATGTTTACCAGTTGAATTTGTCATAAATGGCATCTATAGAGAGTGAGAGAAGATTCACCAGATGAGAAAAAACGATACGAGATTAATTTAAACCGTAATGAAGATAATGAGAAATGCAAATTCATTTTGTATTGTTTGTTTGAATCTTCACCCCAATGCACAAGCTAGAGGCTATCAGGACTCAGTAGCTAAGTGGATAACGTGATGGTGTCTGAAGCGAATGGCACTGGTTTTCGGTCCCGGAGTAAACATTAACTCTGTGATGCAGGTGCATTCTGCTGATGAGTCCAAACTTGGAGGAAACTCACGTCCTGGATTCGGGTGCTGGCCACCATCCATCTTTGCTTATAATAAGAAATGTGGTTTTGTAATAAATATATGAAATCAAAAAATGAATATTAAAGTATTTTATCACATAATTCATTATGTAGACTAAAGGTAAAGAGAACAACACAAAAAAACTAAATTCAATCTATGTAGAAACCGAATTTGTGAACAATTTCATCGGATTTCTTAAATAGTGCTTTCTGGTTTCAGTAGTAGCCTCCTAACTACAGAAAGCATATATTTAGTTTATATAAATTCCAAACAACCGGTTATATAATTATATTATGGATTATTTCTGTTCATTTCAATAGGCTTATGTCACTCTAAATCTGATCGAATGTAGCATTTGTTTTCCTATTAGCAGTTTGCTGGATAAAGGGCATGAATTTCTCTGAAAATATCAATTCTTTGGAGATCATAGACATGTCTATGAGGGTCAAGTAACAGGAAGTCCAGATTGAAAGTTTAACATGTAATCAAACACATATTCATAATATCCACTTAGAACTAAAACAATGTTTCTGTTGGGTCTTTTTATTTTTTGGGGGACTGGGTGCAGAAAATTGTTAAGAATGAGGAACAACATTGTCACCAACTGCGTGAATTACAGTTGATTAGTAATCAAGATATTTTACACAGTAATGCACAATGTATTCTTAATCATATTGCGATTCCGTTTGTATTTAAAATCATTAGTGAAACAAATTCCCACAAAAATATTGAGATTATAATGCATTATATGTAGCCGTTGCGTTTAACCTGAAGGTACTTTGAGTAGTAAGGGAGCTTTCAGAATTGCATGCTTGAGGAAAGCTGGAAAAAAGATGTACAAGAGAAAAAAAATGAGTCAACCACTCAGTAGTATGTGCAAAAAATTCGCTTACTTTTGGTAAGCAAAGTAATCAACAAAAGTTTGCTCTAACACATGGGTAAAATTAAGACTACCTTATAATAAAAACTAGCAACTGATGGATCAAGACTTTTAACCCATCACAGGTAGAAATTATAAAATTATCTGAAATACATTTGGTCAAAAGACTCAATGCAGTTGAGTAAATCAAATAAAGATGACTAGTTCTGTTTCAAAGACCATAAATTAATGAATGACTAATTAATCTACATATTCCATTTCAATATGTATTTGAGGGTCCGTTGATTTTGTTCAGTGTCCTATAATTAATCCCTTTCATAATGATGACTACTACTACTATTTATCGTGATCATTATTATAATGTAAGGAAAAGCAATTTTACTTCTGATTGATGGACTAAGTATTACAACTATGTGTATGTTTAGCTTGTAGACGATAAACGGTGTATTTACACTTGCCACATAATAATCAGTTAATGATGATGTATAGTCTGAATAAATGCATTTTAGAATGTACCTAAATAATAATTACATTAATGAACAGAGTCCAGTTATTTAATTATAAAATAGATATTTGACTTGTGTTTAGACAACTTTCTTCCTGATTGTTACTTTTCAACCATAATAAATTGAAATGATTGATGAATTGGATGTTTCGGTTGTATATTGAATTGAACTGGACTAATGTACAAGATGGACACATCTTTTCTTCGTACATCAATTATGTATATATATAAAAAAACAGTAATCCTAGTAATTAAAACCAAGTGGTCTTATGCTATCAATCATTACTACTGATATAACCATATTTGCATTATGATTCATAAGTATAAGAATTTACTATGAAATGATCTTATGTATATGTCCGTGTATAACTAAGGTACTATTTAGGACTGACTTACAAGAAATTATCATCACTGTACATTTAAAGAATCTCTTACATAGACACCCATTCTAAATTTTTCCAGTTGAAATTATGAATTTGAATTCTAATCAGAAAGGAGTATTTTGTGGATATTATTGTAACTTTGGTAGGTGAATTCATGAGCCAATTGAAGATAGACCACTATGGAAAACCTAGAAGCACTGGACGGCCGTTTCGTCCTAGTACGGAATTACTCAGTGGTGCGCACCCACGATCCCGCCTCGCTGGGATTCGAACCTAAGACACATCAGTTTGGCACGTGGGCTCTTAAACTCTTGACCACTGAGCCAGCATCCAGCGGTGTTAATGTCTAAATTTCACCGGTCCACGAAGTTGCGCCACCGTCTACCATTGTCACCACTGAGTTACTATCTCACAACTGACCTGGTTGTACTCCACTGGTCACATCTGAGGAGTCTTATACTAGAACGAAACGGCCGCCTAGTGCTTCTAGGTTTTCCATGGTGGTCTATCTTCAATTGACTCACGAATTCGTCTACTAATATTTGAATTCTGTTCGGCAGGAACTAATGGGAATCTTGAGGAAACTGATGTATCTGATCTGATTAAAGCATATGTGAATCAACTCCACAATCAAGAATTTTATCATTGAACTATTCATACCACAAATAATATCCTTTAAAACTGATACATACTTTTTTATTAATTGTGATGTAGTTTTACGCCAAACGCGACAATCTTCAGTCCTAAAGAATCATTTTTCATTCTAAACAATATGTACTTTATAAAAAGCTATACGTTGTAAGCTAAACTTAACATTATGTGAAACAGATAGTAAGTTAATGATTCTATGTATTAAAAGTACATCAAAATGCTTTCAGAAAGCTGGGAAAAAAAACAAATATTTCAATAAACAAATGACAAATCCATCATTTGAACTCTTATTTACTGGACCATTTATAATATAACAAGTAAACAAATAAACAAAGTTATGACTGTTTCTTTGTTTTTATTATTTACACCATAATTGAAAAATGTCATCTACGACTATTTTAAGTAATTCAGTTGTTCAGAATACTTCTTTTTTCTGAATATCTTTTCCACTTAAAAATTAAAACTATATATACATATATATTGCTTTTATGGTTTAAATATTTTTTAGTAAAGTTGTTTTCTATAGGATGGTGTTGCTAACCCCATGTCCAACACTCCTCCTTTATCCGGACTTGGAACCGGCATTAAATTATTCAGAGCTACAGGCGGAGATATATATATATTAAATATTAGTAATTTCAAAAAAATTTCAGAAATGACCTCATTAACTCTAACGGAATCTTTGCTACATCATGATACATATATTCATCCTTAATCACCCTCTTATGTATAAGTATGTCAGTATATGTAATAACTCTGCCTTTCAAATATTTTATGTTGTTAGCAGCTGATGAGAATCTAACGAAATAAAATGAATTGATCATATTCTTCACCAATCTTTGTTCTTGCTCTCTTCAAGATAATAAAGGGAACTATGTGGGTGAAGTTATATAGTAGTTTATACTACTCGATCATAAATATCTCAGTAGTATAGTTGAATTGATTCCCGTGGGGCAGGATCGTGGATGCGTATTGCCGAGGAGTTTGGTACTAGGACGAAACGGCCATCCAGGTTTTCCATGATGGTCTAGTTCCAAATGACTCATGAACTCAACTTATAAATTAACAATCATCTCAAAATTTATTACAGTTTATTTAAGAATCACGAAGGTTTATCTCTATACACAGTACCCTTTAACATTACTATATCAATAATTATTCAAAAAAATGATGTTTGTTTATTTTTTGACAATAAAAACCAAACTATCATCAGTCATATAATAATTTATTCTCTTTCCTTTTTTTCTCCTTTATATTTTCATTTCTTTTTCAAGGTGATTGCTGCAGAAGGTGAAGAAAAATCATCTGTTGCATTAAAACAAGCTGCTGATGTAATTAAAACATCACCATTTGCATTACAATTACGTTATTTACAAACATTAAGTGCCATTTCAGCTGAAAAAAATTCTACAATTATATTTCCACTTCCAATTGATATGTTAGTTAATTTATTTCATCGATAAAATTACATCATCAAATCAATAAATCAATAAATCGATAAATCAATAAAATAAACATCCATATACATGATCATATGAATAATTTTCTTGTATTCAAATTTAAATTTAAATTTAAATTTTTAGAAAAAAAATAATAAAAAAAAGAAAAAAAAGGTAAACAGTTTATTCTGTGAAATTCTGTAAACAATCCATTGAATAAATAATTATTTCGATTTTTTTGTTGAAAAAAACATATATAATTACGCGCAATATATGAATGTATGAATACAATAAACTATAATACAATGTATTTAATCTTGAATACTAGATCTCCTTATTTGTTTATTTATTTAAATGAAAAATACACCATTCATTATTGTTTATTGTTTTATACATTCTCTATTATATAATATTGATAATCAGTTTTGGGTAAATGTTCATAAAAAGTTTTCTTTTTGAAAAAAAAATATTATAATAAAATAATATACCTTTTGGGTGTTTGCAAATTGTTCCGTTATTTTCTTCTTTTATTTTATCTTTGATTTTCTTCTTTTCTTATATATATGTGTGTATGCATGTGCGTGTGTATCTCTGTGTATATGTGTGTGCATATGTGTGTACTGTATTGCTCACAGAATTATTGATTATTTTCTCCCTTCACAACGGATAAATTACAAGGGGGGTGAAAATCAATTAAAACCAAGTATAGGTAATTCTTTTTTTCTCTCCTTTTTTTCCTTCTTCTTCTTCATAAGTTAGGTAATTACGCAAACATTAAACATGATAAAAATCATTTATCTTGTTGTTTCATTCTTATAAATAGAAACCAAAATACTCATTTGTTTATTTATTTATTTATTTTCTTTGAATACTCGAATGAAATTACATTATTCAATGCCAATTTTTGTTGACTTCCAACATTTATAATGATTTCATTAAGTTTGTTTTAGTGTAGTCAATTGATCAATTGGCGCTTGTCCAAGTACTTGATGATAATGATGATAATGATAGTAGTAATAATACTATTATTATTACTATGGTTATTAACTTTGTGAAAATAAAATACTTTATCATTTATTCTCTTTTTAAATAGTACAACATATAAACAAGAATAGATAGATATACAATAAAAACAAACAGTTAAACTCATTGATGTTTATCTACATTGAGTTTCTATTGAAGTTGTTTAAAGTCCTGACTTCCTTTTTCATCTTCCATTTTGAATTCGTTTTCGGTTTCTTTCTCTTTTTTTTTCTTTCTTGAAATTTATTTTTAATGAATATGTTCGATAGGGACATTAACATGAAAATAATCGATAAATTATGTCTATTCATTTAATCTTATCTTGCTGTGTACAACTGTACAACTGGCGTTTTTTCCCCACTTTCTTAATGTATTTGAGCGTATTATTATTACATTTAAGTATACATGTTATAATTCGTTTGTTTTGTTTTATTTTTCTTCTTTATATGGAATGTAAACAAACTATAATGTTTCGAGTGATAAATGAAAGAACAAAATAAATAAACAAATAAAGAGTTTCTTTCTTTTATGATTGTTCTCATTATTCATTCTTTATTAATATGCAATAAATGGATAGATATAGATAGAAAAATGTACTTCATTTCATATGGTTACACTTTTTGTTAATACAATATAACAGGAAATTAACATTACTTACTTATTACATACACATAGTTCCCTTTATCATTTTAAAAATAGCAAGAACAAAGATTCTAGCAGAATAGCATGAATTCATTGCTATCTCGTAGGTTCTCGTCAGCTGCTTACAACCTGTGATATTTAAAAATCATAATTACATAATGGATTTAAATTACTTATATGAAAATGTTTGGTTGGAATTTATATTGAAGACATATTCGTACAATATAGCAAGGGTGTAAATAAATTCCTATCACTGTTTACTTGTTTCTAGCCGTTTGAACTGTTGTCACAATGTTCTTTTACAAAAGGTATATATTTACAATATTCAGTCTATTAAATTTATTTACACCCTTGCTATACTATACGAATATGTCTTCAAGATTACTTACTTACGTCTGTTACTCCTAATGGAGCACAGACCACTGACCAGCATTCTCCAACCCACTCTGTCCTAGGCCTTCCTAGGAAATTAATATAATGTGAAAAAAATAAAGTTAAAAATAATAACTGTGTTGGATGTGATACAATTACCTAACAATATTATCAGAAGACGATTTAATAATATCATGAGCTTATTGAAGTTGGAAATGTAGATCATTTAATGTCAACTAAGTGTTTCGTAGGATAAATACTTGTTGTGAGAAATGATGAACTTGTGTTCGATCTGTTTTGTTTGTGCACTACTGAGTAACTCCATTCTAGAGCTTAGCAATTGTCTAATGAACTAAGGTCAATCTCTGACGTTAATTTCAAAATTCAACAAACTTCAACCCCCTTTTCCACTCTGTATAGTATCAAATAGTACACGTGGTGGACGACAAACAAAAGAGTTAAGTACATTTGAAGGAACTGTATTGTTGTTGTAATTAAACAAGAAAAAAGTCTTCACATTTTAGGATTTAGTACATTGTTCATTATAAAAAAAGAAACTTCCGTGTTGCACACTTCAAGATTTCATTAATAATGACTAAACGTAATGAAGAAATAATTTTTAAAATCTTAAGTTTAACTATATATTGCGTCTTGCCCATTTAGTCTCCAGATGGTGACACTAGATCTGTAATATAAAATTTTTTCTATAAACTTCGGTTTGACGACCCGAATGTTATAACAAATACCCCGTCAGTAATAACTAATATTAATAATAGAGTTTATCAACCAATATTTAGTAAAATGAATTCGATAATAATAATCATTAAATTGGGTGAAGGAATAATTAGTAGCGAAGTTACAGCTACTCAGATTATATATACAATATATAATACAGATATTAGTATTACTTTTAAATAAAAATACCAACTACATCAAGCAGTGGGATCTAGGAAACTCGTCTAGTTCAATTCCAGATTCGTTGGTTCGATGTTACCACAACCAAGTATCAATGTTCAAGTGCGACCCGAGCTTAATATCTTTAATTTAAATACCCAAACACTATCTACTGAGTCTTAGTCAGTCCTAGATTTCATTGACACATATTTATTGGTCCGGGATCTGACCCCATTTAGATCGTATGAATGATTACTGTCGAAGTATAAATATCGTCAATCCTCGTATAAAATTATCGACTTAACTCGCATTAGAGAATAACGGAATTAAATAAGTCAAATACGAGAATGTATATTCGAATATGTATATTTTGAACACTCGTTGATCGGAACAGACAATCAGAGAAACTCAGTGAATGAAGTAAAGAAGAGAGTGTGAAGTGAAATGATGCGCAGTGGAGAAGGTATGTAAGCCAAATCGATTTAACCAAGAGTTAATCGATATAGTCACACAAAAATAAGTTACATACATTTGATGAGTAAGATAGAAATGAATACATAATGCTGACATAAAAACAGTCAAGGTTGATAAATGAATAATTAACAAGATCAAAATGTAACTCAAAAAAATGTATAAATTAACCTGTCTAGAAGCTAGTAAAAGTTATATGAGCTTAGTATAGTAAACTGTAATGTCAATTGCCATGTTGAACCCATATATCTTATTCTAGCTATCGGATAGGCCAATCTAATCATTCTTATTGAGTCATATTTCGACCTTAATTATTCACTTATCAATCTTGACTGTTTTTATATGATTGCATATTTGTGTGCCCTTCTTATCCTATTCATCACATGTATGTAGTTTATCTTTGTGTGACAATAAATATTGAATAACTCTTGATTCGATCGAGTTGGCTTACCCGCTATCTCCACTGCGCGTCGTATCGCTTCGCTTTGTTCCATTCGCTTCTCCGATATTTTGTCTGGATCAAAGATTGTATGAAATATACGTAATCGAGATTCATTCTCGTTATTTGACTTATTTAATTCCGTTATTGACTAATGCGTTTTAAGTCGATGATTATATACGAGGATAGGCGACATATATATTTCAATAACAATCATTCAGACGATCAAATTGGAGTCAGATCTCGAGCCACTAAAGTGGAGATGTGGTCGACAATATCGTGCGATCTAAATGATGACAAAATAAAGGGCCCCACTAAAGTGGAGAACCCGTCGACAACATCGTCCAGCCAATTCGATGTCAAAGGGTAGGGTCACACTAAAAACCGACACTACACATATATTGCTGACATCTCTAACTACTCAGTCCATAAAATTTAAACTTAGAACCCTTTCTTATGATTCTATTAGTATTTGTACAACAATAATTCAGTTATTTCACTTGGTTTTGTTTTACTTGAATCTTCCCATTGATGTTTAGGATTGAAATTGATCAGTCTCTTATTGGCATATGTACATACTGTGAGTATTACCTCGATATTGCCTTAATTTACAAGCATTCTTAGCAGAGATGGGTGGTGGCTAGCAGTGGAATCCAGAACGCGCGTTTCGTTCTGTTTGGGGCTCGTCAGCTGGATGTACCCGCACCCCAGAGTTGGTATTCATTCTGGGACTTCAGCCCAGTGCCTTTCGCTTCAAACGCCATCACGTTATCCACTTAACTACTGAGTCCTGATAGCCACTTGTTTGTGCGACGGGGTGAGCGGTGCTGGAGTCGAGCCCCAGAGTGAACGCCAGCTCTGAGGTGCAGGTACATCCAGCTGACCAGTCTCAAATAGGACGAAACGCACGTCTGGATTCCACTGCTAGCCACTATCCATCTTTGCTTAATAATTCAGTCCTATCCACCTAACTATCATCAATCGTTACAATTTTTAAAACTTTACAATTCTATTACAGAAAAGAAAAAGATGTTTACTGATTTAACCAGCTGTGTTTATTCAGTAGATTATTGTCTGTTTTAATATTTTTATTAAAGAAACTAACAACTTAATTCATTTATTTCTTTAAATGTACATGGATAATTTAAAGTGATTTTTAAGTAACAAAAGTGATTATGTTATTAATGTTCTAAATAAAACTTTTCTATGTAAATAGAAACATTCGCAAGAGAAGATGAATA